TGTATGGCCTGTTCGCAAGTTCCAAGCTTCCAGTGCGCTTCACCAGGAATGAAGTCCAGGTAAATTCCATGGATGTCACAGTATCGTTCTACTTCATTGCTTCGGAATGCTCCGGCGGGATCGAGCCGGAGGGTCTGAGGATTGCCAAAATATTGACTCCAACCCTCACGCAAATAAGAGATGAATTGACTCGCGTTCATGGTCTTGTGTTTTCCTTTGCACATCACTCGGGCCGTCCGAAATTGAGACCCTTCATCAATAACCAACAAAAACTCACTGTGTTCTCCAGTGTGGGGGTGTATCCACTTTCCACCATCAGCACTGATAGTGGCCCACTTAGGTGGGAGTGGTTCAAGACTAGCGGCATGTTTGTGAGTCAATTTATGTCTTTCCTGGCAAACATGACATGTGAACTGCTTGGCAAGGTGCAAAACAAAATCAGAAGCTCCGCGCTTACGAAGTGCTTCAATCATGTGTCTCGTACTTCCGTGTCCAGTGGCGGCATGCAACTGATAAATTTGTTTCTTCACACGTTCCACGTCCTCTTTGGTTTGTTTCGTATCACTCGTCAGTTTCGTTTGCACACAAGCCATTTCGGGCGTTTCGTTTGGTTTGTTCAACAGCGTCGTTTCCAAACAAGCTCCACAAGTCTGCACATGTCCGTGTTTCTTCAGTTCACTACACACACACATGGTGCCGGAACCAAAACTCGCACACAACTGGGAGTCTCCTCCCATTTCCTTCACAAGCATACCATGGCTAAATTCCTGCTCAATGGCTTCCGCCACTCTTCTAGCAAACTCTTTGGTGTAAAAAGCACTCATGTGAGTCAACCGACCCTCACACACCACATGTTTGTCACTCTTCGGACACTTACATGGGAGATCAAGCATCATGGCCATCCTACGATGAGTGGTCATGACTTTCCAACCCTTGTGCAACAGACCTTTTCCCTTAGGGTCCCGCAAATTGACCTGACATCCATTCACCACCGAACACCAAGGTTGATATTTGTGGATAAGTTGTTGGATTAAGGGCAATCTCCACGCTTGACACTTTTGGGCCCATTCCCATGAAACATGAATCCCCTTCTGAGTGGCGTAGTGCCACACGCAAGCGGCACCGACATACTGCTTCATGACGGATCTGCGTTTTTCCGCAAGTTCCTCTCGTTGAGAGTCGGTACGTTGATTCAAATTCTGCATGGGAGAAAATGGTCCGCACTCGGTGCTGATCCAAATGTGCTTGGGATGGTATTGATCAATCTGTTGAAGGATCAGTTTGACGCCAGCAGAACTAGTAAGGTCACAGCCGTTCCAGTGCGAACACCTGATAGCGGCTTCACGGTAACCCGCTCGGTTATGGATTTCACTGCTCAACACACTGTCAGGGCTGCAAGCAACCTCCATTAACCACGTTTTTCTTTTTCCGGTCTTGTCAACAAGACATTGAAACATACGTGGTAGGTTTCTATGTGTTTCCTGTTCTAGGTGCCGAGCAGCTGCCTCAGAGAGTTGGCGTGTTGTCACTGAGCTGGTTACGGGAAGGTGGACGCTATCTAAGGTCTCAGCCGAGTCACTCAGATCTTCGTGAAGCTGTCGTCTGAGCCTGGTGTCTTGTGGGCCCTCTTTTGGCTGGAGAGTTCCGCCACCTCCTCCTTGAGTTCCTTCACGGTCTCGGTGAGGATTCCCATCATTTCCATGACTGCCGTGGACGAATTGGCACTCCCAGCTGAGCTGGCTGCTGACTCTTGCTTCACTCGAACACGTGTTGGAGCTGGTGTCACCATGGGTGTGGGCTCGTCGTGATGATAGCCCTGTGTCTTCACAGGGAGGATCTCGGCATCCTTGGAGTCGAACATCTTGCGCTCCTCGGCAATGAGCCATTGGGCAAGGCGACTCAACTGGGGGCAACATCCCTGCGGTCTTCCTTCCATGTAGTCCGGACCCAGTTGCAGTATTGGGTGTCGGACCGGATCTCTGCATAGGTCAGAGCTGCTGCCTTCCCAAAGCCCACCGGGTCCATTGGGTCCGGTGTACTCTTCTCGTAGATGCGGATCATGGCGGCTTTCTGAAGTTGTGGTTTGGTCTCGTTTCCAGTCACTGGAATTCCCAAGTCGCGGCAATGCTGCTGCAACGTGTTCTTCCGGCTGCTGGCCTTGTTGAGCTGCACCACCATCTCGCGCATGTCGGTGCGCTGATTCTTCTTGGTGGGAATGCCGCGTTCCTCGTAGATCTGGAGGACCCGTGACCGCAGTTCGACGACTCCCCATTTTTCCGGAGGAGTCTCGCCCTGCTTCCTGAGCTCTTCGATCAACTCGGACTTCTTCATTTGGCTCACCATGATGATCGAGACGCTGGGGACCGCCAGGACAACACGTCGAGCTCACGATACTTGGGCTGCTGCTGCATGCGTGTCCGGTGTTCAAATGAAAAACGTGACAAATGTGACTATTCACACAACCAAAACTGAACCTAACATCATCAAAGAAAGAAGAAATGCACGTTCGAATCGACGGATCACTCAGGATATCGCGGAAAGATGATTCACAAAGCCTCATTGGAACCTGATGTTCACCCTTGACCTCTCTTTCTCTCTCAGGCTGAAGATCAGAGAGGAGCTGTCCCTAATGCAGGAAGTCCCTGAGGCTTGGGACCTGTCGATTGCAGGTCTTCGCATGTTTAAAAAGATCCTCGGTCAAAGGCAGGAGCTGGTGTCCTGCTGCCGAGCGCTCGAGGGGGATGATCTTCGTATCGTCAAGTCCCCTCAGTACCAAAAGGTCGGCCTCAAAGTCTATGATGGCCTTCAACGATCGGAGCGTCTGGATGGACAACAGGATTGGACCACTTCCACGATCCAGAGCATGGATCTGCAGCAAGCCTGGTTGCTCATTCGCAGTAACCTGCAGCTGAGTCGTAGAGATGCAGCGGTCTTGAGAGCTGTTGCCAAACCCAAAAGTGGGTGTATTGTTGGTGTCTACTCCTTGGATGCGATGGTTGCCGTACTTCTTGGCATTGATGTCCATGACGGCCTGGATAGCCTCGACGCTCCCCAGCGTCTTTGTGGCTCCACCGTCAATTACGGCGCACCCCTCATTCACAGCTGCCTGTGTAGTTTTGGCCGTCCCAGCTTCTGCGGTGAGGGCTGCCTCATCGCTGAAGCAAATGAATGGTGCTGCTTCAGTAGCCACATGGCTCTGGGGCTTTCCATCGGATCCTTGGCGCTCTGGGCATTCATTGGTGCGGTGTCCCTTCCCGCATCGCAAACATGTCTCCGAGGTTGATGAACTTGGAGGCTTGTGGTAGGAGAACATGGGCCGGTCTCCATAGGACCGTCGGCTGGTGTTTGTGGTCTTGTAGTACTGCCGGCTCAACTTGACTTGGTGTTGTCGTGCCCGAGCTTCTTTCAAAGTGCGCTTGCCTTGTTGGATCAAGGCGTATGCCTCCTGAGCGCGCTCTTCGGCGGCACTGTATAGGGCCTGTCCTTCACCATTGAGGTCATCCACCTCCCATGCTTCCTCCTGGTAATTCACTGGTAATCGGTGAAGTCCGGCTCATAGTCACCCCCATCATCAGCCCAAAAACCGGCATGTCGGGAGTTCTGGTCATGCCGCCGGAGTTCTTCATCCGGCCACTGGAGTCGGAGTTCACGAGAAACTCGCTGTAGAGAGAAGTCATCCTGGAGGGCCGTTTGGATCATGTTCCTTTCTGTGCTCTCTAACCCGGAGTCCATCAGGAGATACCACCCCTGAAGAAACTCAGGCAGCAGTTCCTCTGTATGGAGCTTCCATGGTTCATCATCGCTCTCTCGACGTGAGTGGTGCCAGGAGTTTGAGGCGGGTGCTTCGCTCATGGGTTCATACCACTGTTCTTCATCACCGGGGTGGTCACTCTCAGCATGGTCCTGTGAGTGTGGTTCAGGATTGTGCCATTGCCAATCCTCCCAGGTGTTGTGACTCCAGGTCATGGAGTCCCTACGCTCCCAAGTGTGGTGCCTTGGTTGGTGCCTCTGACCATAGAACTTCTGTACTCGAGCTAAGGCTTGCCGAGCACGATGGTACACCTCAGTCTTTCGGGTGATGTAGGTGTTCATGGTCTCGAACTTCTTCCGGCGGCTCTGGCGGAAGTAGCGATTCAAAAACTCTGTCAACTCTGGAATCGTGGGCCTCCCCAGGCATTCACGAAGGTGTTCCAGCAAGTGTTGGACACCTCCATTGAATGACAACCACTGCGGCCGTTTTCCTGTGACATGCTTCCGAGCTGGTCCCGAGAGCTCGGCCACCAACTTTGGTCCAGCTAGGTATCGTTTGTGGTAGGGGATGCTCTGTTCCCACTGGAGGGCTTGTTCTTCGTATTCTTGGTAAGTGGAGGCATCTCCATTCCACTGTGGTACCCCATCTTTGGAGCGGGTCACTTCGGAGCTATTCATCTCCCCTTGTATCTCGGCAGGTGTTCGACGTGCCGAGCGTCACAACTAAGGTCCCTGGTTGAACCTAGAAAACTAGGCTCCGCGCTACCATCCAAGAGGGATGGTCCGAAGTAGCGATGGTTGCCCAAGAGCGTGCACTGAGGATATGGCAAAACAGGATGCGAGACACGGCAAAGCGGTGTCAAATGAATCGAATGCCCTTCTTTCCTCGAACCCTGCACAACTGCGATATGAAGCATCGCTAATGCCTTTATGAGCACAAGTGGTTTCACTTGCATATATATACATGAATCTACGCTTGCTGTTAGTTTCATAAACCCTACAGTTCACCAGCCCCAAACCATACAAGAGGGTCCGATGCTTTGGCTCTCCTGTTGGCAAGCGCGTCGCCCCCTTCGGCTCACCATGCAAACTCACAGTCGTCTAAAGCTGTATGTTTGTGTCGGCCCATTGGTGTTGTACGCCTCTGCTCAATTTTGAGATTTCTTGATGATCCATAGAACCTATTTGTCTCTCATTGTATAAGAAATATATATATATATATTGTATATGATTATATATGCATATCATATGTTCTATCTCTTTGGCCGTTCACACGACTGTGCGACCTCTTAAAACAGCGCCCCATCACAGCTGAGACAGATCTCTCAGCTCACTTTCTGCCTTTTGTTCGGTGCTTCCGATGCCTGCGACAGACGGCGCCACCCAGGGCCACACCCGTTGAGCTGAGGCGAGCGGAGGCTAGCGACGTATCGAACGTTCATAGCAAGAGCCAGAATGTCCGTAGTGTAGAGTCTTGATTCATAAAGAAACACGATTTGGACTGCAAAACCTCTGCATCAACTGGTGGATGCGATCCAACCATGCAGTATGTGCAACTGGTGCCACTTACTTGAGCCTGTCAACCTGACGAGGACGTCCCTGACGAGTTGTTCGATGGGTTCGGGGGGGTTCAATGCCCCGGCCTTCGAGGACATCATGGCACAGAACTCCTGCGATCGAAAGGTCGACGGCGCGGAACACCGTCGCTCGATCCATGGTGGTACGGTGCATGTTTACGTCCCAAAGAACCGTGGGAAGTGTACATGTTGAATACAGAGACGGAATGATATACTGTATAGAAATTCTGTAGTCCTGTTTAATATTGAAATGTTTATATAAATGTATAGACGCACAGCCACAGTTCTAGAACTTCCTGATAGGTCCTATGTGGCCCAAAATTGCCCAAAATATTCAAAACGTATTTACATGATAGGTTCCCCTACCAAGAAACTCATCGCTAACATGAGATGCAACAGCAGCCCCACCGTTCCCCAAGGGTGCAGGATACGTCTCTCCTCAAAGTCAACGGCTCCATCACCATCCTCCGCCAAAAGCACCGTCGCCGGAGGTTGGCAGAGCGGAACCACTTAGACTGTTTCTCACTCCAAGGCAATGAAACCTCTTGAATGAAGTCTCAATCTCCGGTGATGGTGGTCCTTCTTTTAAGTTGTTCATATGTGTTCTCCAGTGAGTCCAACCTCACAACCGCTCCCTGCCGCCTTGTCCACCTCTTCGATCATCTTTTCAATCTTTCCTGAACGACTTCAAATCATTGATTAAATTCTTCAAAATCAAACATAGGAACCCAAATTCATTCAGTGCCCAAATCAGAAAATGCCGCAAGCAGATTTGAGCTGTCCTATGCCACAAGGCATCCCAAAACCAAGCACCATCATCTGGCTTTGAGTTCCATACACGTCACACGGATCAAGTCAGTCGTTGCGTCCCCCCCAAAAGGGTTGCACGGAGTCACAATGAGCATGCCCCGGTCCCATCCTCCGCCACAGGAACAACATGAAACAGCAAACGTACTTCATCATGCTTCATCTATGATACTCTGCCTGACAACTGATGTTGTCTCAGTCTCTCACTCCCAAAGAGCTCCGAGACGGACCGAAATCCCGTCCGAAACACGGTGGCGAAACAGGTGCCCCTGCGCGCTCCGAAGAGCTCTTGCACCGAGTCTCCGTTCAAGACCTGGCGGGGGAGGAGGCGGTCTCAACAGTGCAACCTCGTTCGAAGCGTCGGTTTTTTTTTCGATTGTTTTTGGCATGTTCTTGGTTCCCTGAGTGAAATGCGGGTGGATCAAAACATGTCAAAACCAAACAGTCAAGAAGCGTGGTAAAGATGTCGTTTTCGAGACCTTACCTGCAGGATCCTGCAGGCATGCGGGTTAGACAATTAATCTTGTAAGATGATCAAAAAAGAGAGAACATGTCCTCAGGAACAGGATTCCCTACTTAAACCCATCATAACCCATCACCTTGCTTCTCTGCAGCTCATCATCTGCTTCATCCTCCCTGCCCAGCCTTCGCCAACTCCTGTGCATAGCTCACCGCGCAGGACCACCCGGCGGCCACAATCACCGAACATACCCAAAGATCATCAAACAAACAAGGACCACTCTGAGGACCAAATGCTGCGCTATACTGTGTCACACCCCTCCTCCAAGGGTCCTGGGTCCGGTCTTTGTGAGGGGACCCATGCATAGTGTGGTTTTCATGCCCATCCTGTGTCTTGGGATTCTCACAACATGCAGTAGCGCTCAGGGGATATCAGGGGATTAGGGTTGTCTGGTACTAGCTCAAAGTGGCTTGTGAAAGAGATGCTGACACTATGTTTCTTGACCAGCTTCCTGAAGGTAGCTTGCCCAGCTCTGTCCAACCTCCAAAAAAAATCCATCCTATACCTCGATGTGGCTTTGTCTCTGAAACCTATGTCAGTTCGGGAACCAAGAACCGAAAACCATCGAACACATGCGGGCTCACGTACCATCGGGTCTCAGCCACGATCCCCCATGGCGCAAAAGTCGGGGATTCGACTGATTTCCATCCATGTCATCCTTTCAGAGGTGAGTGCTTTGGTCGCTTAGAGCCAGGGATCTCAACCAGAACCCCCTCTTCACAGACCAGTCTTAGTCATACCTAAGCTCCCTAGCACCAGGCAGAAAATCAAATCCTACTTCCAGGTTCCAATCTCTACTAAACATGTCTATACCATTTCTATCCATTTCTTGAAGACCATCACCTGGAGCCACTCACCCAGATTCCTCCCGGGTGATCTTGCCATCCCCATCGAGGTCGAAAATGCGGAAGGCAGCCCAGCACACATCCTCCCAGTGGGGCTCAAGCGATCGCTCTAACCGTGGCCGTTTTCCACCAAGACTTTAAGTGGGGCGGTGCAAAACACCAACACCTCAGCACCTAAGAACACACACCCTTTTTCCACGATCAGCCATGGGCATAGAAGAGTACTATTGGTCCAAATTGACCCCAATTGTATCTCACTCTATTGGTAGCAATTCATAGACTCGCTTGGACCTAATTGACCAAGGCAGCTTGCTTGCTTGCTTGCAGGGTCTTCCGATTGACGAGCAACTACCAAGTTGGCATGTTGGCAATTTTCCAGAAGGTCCTTGTTTTCACACTCATTGGTTTGAAGCAGTTGTACGTATGTTTTCACCGACCATCTTGCGCTGCACTGACTCGTTTGCTATGTGTATATGTATATATATATACAGGGAGAATGAGGTAACAAGCAACAATCCAGGTTGTGATCTCACCTGATTTGGGGAAACGGCCACTATGATTTGGGAATAGCCCGATGAGCCTCTTCAATTCGAAAGCTTCCCACACTACACTCAGCTGGGTGGATGCTCCAAGGAAAGCTCCGCTCTGCTCCGCTCGGTCGAGGGCTCCCGCTGCATGTAGACCTTTTGGTCCAACATGGCAGCCAGGAACTCCGTGTAATCCAAGCTTCCGGAGCCTCCAAGCTCTGTCCCGGTGAACCGGTTTCAGGCTGAGGTGAAGGTGGAGAGTGGAAGGAGACGCAACAAATGGGAAGAAGGAATAGCGACACGAACGCTTTATCCGCTGCCAGATGTGGATTTGGGGATAGATTTAAAAGGATCCCAGGCACGATGATTCAAGACTTCCGCAGGGTTCACCGGTTAAGACGGTTAAGACTGCTTGGATCAAACTGATTGGCTCTCTCCAAACAATGGCTGTCTGTCTTTCTGCGCAGGCAACACTGATAACTGATATTCCACAATAGCCAGTGAAAGGAAAGAAAAGCCCAAAACCGCCGTCTAATGGGTCAAAAAAAAAGCATCCGCCATGGCAGACCGGTGTTTCTTGAACAAAAGACCGGTCCTCACCCTTTCAGTCTCAGGTCTCAGCCGTTGCAATCGATTGCTTGAAGTATGTCCTGTCGGTTTTTGGGGCGGACCCCCGGCCGAGTCTTCGCGTCTTCGCGGTCCCCAAGACCTGGACTCGGACTCGTTCTGCTACTCACTCCGAATTCTCAACACGAGACAATGTGACGATGAAAACAGTGATATGTTATGATATGTTTAACTCTGGCCTAACTGATGCCGGGTCTATTTTTGGGGTTCCATGATGAATCATGTTAAGCTTCCCAGAGTCCCTTTTTGGGGACCAGAAAAAATAGAGAGACAGAGCTATAATAAAGACTTGACATGAAAATGAGGCATACTGTAACAACGAAGGTCGACCACGTCCATCCTCCAAGGCTTTGGGAGGCTTCAGCCCCTCCTGCACAATCGCTTCCTCAACTCAGAAAAGCGCGCGGAATCCCACGTCGGACGTCCGCCCGTGGTAAGTAACACGCTCGTTTGGCCGCCTGATTCATCAATCATCAGACTTCATATCATATTCTTTTTCCGTCTCATCCCTCTTGTACGGCTACTGATTGTCTGAGTGTTTTTCTGTCAGACATTGTCTCTGAATCGGTGTGCCTGTGTTCGTTCAATGCTTCTGCAAAAGAGTCCAAACCTTTGTTAGTCAGAAGTCATCAATTTGCGATCGAAACTCCGCGATCGAAACGCAGCAAGCGGGGTACAAAGTCAAGAAGCATGCGGGGTTCACCGAGGAATATCGACTCTGAGGCGGGAACCCGGACCTCTTCCACCGAGAGCGTGCCGTCACCATTCCTGGCCCCAACAAATGCCAAAGGGTGGGCCAAAAGTCATCCCAAATGAATCCAAATGAATTGTAGGTGTTATCATGCTTTATCCAAACGCTGCAAGGGATTCGATTTGTTGGGCACAACTGGGGAGCCATCTCCTAGTTCAATCTGTTCAAACATTCTTCACCCAGGGGGGGAGCCACACACACACCATCCACTGCGGTCAGACCACTACACGACCGGGCAAATAAAGGGATTAAAGAGAAAGCACTTGTTGAAACTACAAGTAATAACTCAAATACGGCGGCTTGACTGGTCCAATGCTCTGAAGGTCTTCTGCAAGGAATCGATCTTTTCCTGAGGCCACTGCTCTTAGGGGCTGGCACACCATAGGAGGGTGGGGTGCCTCATTGTTGGACCCGTCATAAGAGGTCAAAACCAACTGAAATGGAAAGTATCTCTCTCTGTTTGCAGTGCCTTCGAAGTCCTGGGTCCACCCAGGTTGTCTTCCTTCGATAGTAGCATGCTTGATACTCGCCACACAAGCTGTCTTGCAAGACATGGGTGAATTACAGCGTCCATGGAACACCAGTACACGCTGTCTATGCCTTAAAGCTGCCGTTGCCCTGACGAAGAACCACTGTTTGTGTTCCACAAAGCTTTCGGGCTCAATACGGAACAACTGCGAATGGCCTAAACTCATGCACTTTCAGATCTTTCAGCAGGTCAAGGGTCGTCTTCAGCTGCAAAGGCCCTAGTTTGCTGGCTTGGTTGATGTTTCACTTGGGCAGTACATCTGCCATTCCAGCACTGCCATTTTCGACGAGCCACATCAGGTAACTGCTGTGCCAGTGCCGTCAAAGCGACCTGCCCACCAGCAGAGAAGTAGCAGAAAAAACTTATTGCGCACTTCAATGTTAAAGCAACTGTCCCTGAGCTACCCCAGGAAAGCGCTACTTTGATTTGCGAGCAAGAACCAAAACTAACTTTGCTGCAGAAACCTCGGCCAAGGATCACAGATTTGGGGGATGGTCAAAAACGTCCCTCTTCTGGATGTTGGGTGAGGAATTAAATTGAATTGATGAGCATTAGAATCCGTTTTGGGTTCAATGTCCCAAAATTCCCCAAAGAACCCAACCAGCTCAAGCATCTGGCTCGCAAAACCCTTCGCCGGCTCCAAAACCCTGCGCCTTCTTCAGCTTTGAAAAGGCTCGGAAGCCCGAGAGTCTGAGCAGCGGGGCCGTTGTTCGTCACATCGGTGGTGACATGGGTCATGTGGGTCATGGCACCGGGACAGGTTTGGTTGACCGCCAGGTTTTGACCCATTCCCACATGTGTCATGGAGATTCATGGGGACTCTGTAAAAAATGCCTGCCAGGAAGTCCTCGGACTTGGTACGTGGGCGATCAGTCCTCGAAAATGACCAACCCGGGAAGTCCTGTTGCACCCATTCTTCCATGATGTTCCATGAGAAGAAAGTTGAAACGCAGCGATGCTTTGAAAGGACCTCGTGTCAGCGATGGAACCAGAGACGTACGTCTGTCGCCGACCCATGTGCTCAAGATCTTCCCTTGCCATTCAACCTGTCGGATCCGATCTTCCTGCACCTTGCCATTCAACCACCATCGCCGATGTCCCAAGCGCATCGTTCCACCATCTGCCCAGGTTCACCGTCTCTCCGTTCCGAAGCGTCTCGCCGCGGTGGAGACGTGACGAACAGGAGACGCCGCGCCTGACGACAAAGTCCCTCGACAAGGGTGTGGACTTGGGTGTACCCTGGGCGTTCGTGCGGCGCGGAGAAGTCGACCGTTTTCCAGGCGTTCCGGCGAGGAAGCGAGTTCGCAGCATGACCGCGGAGAAGCATCATGATTCATGTTCGTTGCTTGATGTTGGGTATTACACATTGAGTGGCTTGGTAGAGATGATGTGTCCTATGAGGCCTATAGGGTAAGAAGAAACAAAAATGCTGGGTACAAATCCAAATGCATCAACAATCCAAAGAACGCCCTGGCGAGATCTTCCACACCGGTGGCGCACAAAGTTGAATGCTTGGCGGGCAAGCAAGGACTGTTCGCTTCATGATGTTTATATGGTGACCCCAAGCAGATAGAAAGCCGCTTCTTCAATTCTTCAAGCGCATTGCACAACGCTTTGAAGAAGTATCAAAAAGGCTAATAAAAAGGTATCCAAGAGCTATAGCTGATCGATCCCTTGCACCGGAAGAGTTATCAGCTCCGGCACACCGACCCATCAGGTCAGCACACCGACCCATTAGGTTCGAAAGCTTCTGCCAGGGCGATTTGGAAGGTTGTGCCGGGGCCTCTTCAAGTGGAGCCTGGAGATACCCTGTCTGCTCCAACTGGGCAGAAGTGTCTGGAAGCTGCGGAACTGCAGTCCTTCCTTCATCGTTTCAAGCCAAACACGCAGTGTTTCTTCGTCGCTTCACAAGCCCTCCCTGCAACATTCAGCAGACTGAAAGCCTGAAACCCATCTCCTGTCGCAATGCCAACTTCTCAAGCCTACTGCTTTCAGCTGAAAGTCCGTCCGTGAAGAAACGCCTTTCCATCAGAAGGTTGCAGGGAGCCTACAGCTTCCACAGCAGTCCTAGCCAAGTTCCTGCCATTATCCAAATGAATTTCCTGCATAGTACCTATCTCAAAGTGGTGCCAAAGGAAGCAGGTTAGGATATCACCTGTTCCTTCCATTTCATCATCTGCTCCCGACGCTTGGCAACGCATCAACGACTCGGAAAATGAACACTGTCAGACTGTCAGATGAAGAAGCGGCTTCTTCCTGGTCGTTTCGGAATGCTGCAGCATGGATCGTGCTCAACCCAAACAATTGCCGTCTCAACGATTTTGTGGTTCCGGCTGTGATGAGGGCACATCTAGTCTCTCAGCACCTACCTGACTGGAGCAGTCTGTGGAGATGGACTAAGCATAGCAATGAGATTCTGATGTCTCTAAAAGCCTAAAGATATATCATCTCTACAAATTTGCAACAAGCACGAGCAGCACGACGGATTTGCAGTCCCATTCGCGCCTTGAACTTCAACCATGGGCTCATGAGCACCAACTGCGCAAGAATCGGAGCAACACGGAGGTGAACGCAGACTCAGGCCATGTTGAATAAAGTTAAATAGGGACCCACACATATGAATACAATATAATCAATATAAATGCTGTGGTCTTCCCTATGGCAGGTGGTACAGGCTGTCCTGCATCAATAGGAGTTTTTCCGAACATGAATGTAATGTGTACATTGTTCCTAATTGCGTTCTTGTTCGTAGTAGGGCCAGGAGCCCGTACGTAGCGTCCGAACGCTCCGTTCGTGGCGATGCCAGGAGCCCCTAGTAGCGTCCCCGTTGCGAGTCCAAAACATCACCCGATTCAAGACCCGCTTCGGCAGACGCCTCAGCACTGGGACGGATGGTGGGGTCGAAGGTCAGCATCTGTGTGATGAGGTTCTTGGCCCCTGCCGTGATGAGCGGAAGACGCCATGAGAGAAGCTGCAGTAGGACTGGACTTCTGCATCGCAGGAGACGGTATGACGGTATGTATGCATTTGTGCGGATGCGGGTGACCAACTAAAGCTTTTGAGTTGGATTTGCGCACATCAGGTTGAGAGCGTGTATTCCCACTGTGTGTGTGTTGTTGCGGGGGTGCATGTTGGGCTAGCGGCTAGGATTCAAACACTGAAGTATGCATGCAGGCCAAAGAAAAACTCAGCGTATATAGTTGCTTTAAAGCGGGATTGGTATATGAATGTCTGTCTGCATATGTCTTTAACTTTTCCTCGATGTGGGGTGCAGGATTAACTACACTAAAGCACCCCAAATGATCGCCCTGTTTCTGCTGGATCCGTTTCTGAGCCCAAAGCCTCATCCAAAATGACCGAACCAAACGAAGCCTTTGGTTGCATGGAGCCTTCCTCTGTCAACTTCAGTAGTGGAAGTCACACTATATCTGTCTTTGGGACCAAAACAACAATTCAGGAACGTCCTGAACTCAATACATCGCAAGCTCCTGGTGGCTTGCAGGACTCTTTTCACCCCCAGCTGCTTGGTACAGGCGCTCTGCACGGCAGCAAACGTACGCTCATTGGCCCAGACCTGGCGCTCCAGCTTCAGAATGGCCCAAAGGATCTGTTTGGTCGAACTTCATCAGTTGTGGGCACCACCTGGAACTGCCCCAAAAAACTACTCCAAATCGGATCTTTTGAGAAATCTCAGGTGGGAGGAGATCTGATGTCTAAGGAAGACACTCGTCTCTCTCATCTCGACTCATCTCGACTCATGGCCCAATCATTCGAGTCTCGGACCGATGTCAACAGTGCCATACTCAGCCATACTCACTCTATGCCATGAACGAACGTGCATAGAGTAGTGAATCAGGATGTCTGGATTTGGACACGTCACGAGATGTCTGGATTTGGTCTTCAAACCTCTTGTCCTACCCACTACCGACAGGAATCTTTTCAGTCCTGTCCCAAACCTGGACCCAGTCATGATAGTCATGGCAGGCTTCCTGAGAATCTCTCCAGCTCCTCCCGTCTTGGGCTTCAGCTCCCGGCCCACCTGGCATCTCTTCATGCGCTTCAAAAGCTCCAAGCTTTGGCGCCAGGCGCTGGCCATGCTCAACGGGCCCAGCGCTGAATTGAACGAGATCGTGTCGCTCTCCACCTGGCGGACTGGGAGAGATCGGATAGACATCCGGTTACCAGGGCCTCAGTGGATGATGATGGTTGTGCAGATGATGCGGTTTGTTACCGACTATCAGGTCTTTCTTGCTTTCTATCCGGTCACCATCAGGTTGCAGGCCCTGTTCAAAAATACTGATTTGCTTGTTGACCTGACTGTTACAGGTCACTTCCAAACCCCAACCGTCCTGCGGGTCGGACTACCCGGCGTCAAGTCCGTCCGAGTCCAGAGATCTGCAGGTCCTGGTGGGCTCGGACGAAGTCCACTTGGTGGGTGCGGATCGCATATGAGGACCAAGCCCATCCAAAGGAAGCTCCAAGTGGCTTGGAAACATGATTGCAAGCCATTGACTCCTCACCCAATCCTTTTTACCTTTTCGAGCTCCTCATCACTTCAATTCGCAGCTTTCTTCTGACATGGGGCCCATTCATGTCAAACTGGTGAATCCCAAATGGCCCTGATGGAAAAACATGGTCCAGTAACTAGTGTATATCAGTCACACTACCAAGTCCATCCACCCATGACCCACGCATGCGGCGGCCTGCGCGCTGGTGAGGTCGGTCCACAGATTCAAAGCATCTGTCCATTGGATCTCGAGGCTGAGCATGCTGTTGAGCGTCACCACCTGGTGCCCATCGGAACCCATCGGAACCCACACCTCGCGGCTTGGTCAAGCCTGATAACAGGTGGTGACGCTCAACCCAAGGGTAGCAGCAAGACCCCCTTGGTCTGAGAAATGTTGATGCTCTGGACCTCACAAGTAATTTCACAATCTGAATAACCGTGTTTGGGAAACAGTTCCGAGTTGTTCCTTTGCGTCCTAACCAAAAGCAATGCCTGAGGGATGGTTAGTTCATCTTCACAGAAGGAAGTACAGTAAGTCTTGCCAGACCCTGAAGCTGCAGGTTTTGCAAGGGTCATTTGCACCATTCCTCAAGTGGCAGGTGAAAAGTCCAAGATGAATTGAAAGGTCCGTTCCCCCCACCCCTCGTGATGGTCGTCAGATCATCAAATGCTTTCGGGTGACCGGTTTTAGGTGCCTAGCGTGTGAGTGTTTGCACATCTCCCATCCCTCATCATCTCCCATCCCTCCCTCAGCCCCCCCCCGGCCGTGGGGTGGAGCAGCTGAAGCACTTGCAGCTGGGCATTTCGCCAAGCGCTACTGTGTCCGGCGGCAGAAACAGCGGCGTTGGTGGAGACCGTGTCCGGTTGCAGGTTGGTGGTCTGGGCAGCAGAAACATGAATGCTTTGCCTACCTCTGGCAAATGTTGCTAGTTAGACTAGTAGCTCTTGGCATTAGTACTAGGAACAAGAAGCTACTAGGTTGGAGGCCATTATATACTACTA